ATTACTATCAGTTCTCAAAACAAGTTCAAGGATTGAAAACAATTCAAATGTTCAGTCTACATTGTATTAAACATAAAGGACAATGGCAACAGCAATCATAATAAGCAAAACTGAAGCAAGCATTCCTGCACTAGCTCCACTGGGAGTACTAGTAGCAGTAGCAGTTGGAGTAGGGGTAGCAGTAGCAGTAGTAGCACTCACACTAATGGATCCACTGCTAATTGAGGAGGAACTTTGAACAGATGTACTAATTGTAGTTGTTGACATTGTACCAGTTGAGGAAGGAATAGTAGTAGAGAGAGAAGAAACATCTGCATTAATAACAATAACAACACAGTGATTGTGTAAGCAAGATTACTACCTTGACAATTCTGAAGGCACAACTGCATAGGAAGTAAACCAAATCCAGAAGGAATATTGAATCCAGTAGGTGATGAAAATGAGCCAATTACTGCTCCATTGAATACATAGATAACATATTGGCACATGTTAAGATCAAGGTCTTGATTCTTATCAGGACTGATTATTGGACGAGTGAAATTAACTGTGAGGAAGTCACCACTTAGTGAAGCATTTGTATTTTGAAGATTTTGTTCTGTGTCCAGCTGATTACTCAATGCATTTGGAACCCACCTAATGTAAAGATTCAACCTGATTCTATAATTTATATTAACATAATTAAGCTGTGTTGTAATGAAATTCTTGTTTTATGATTACTGCCATTATGTAAAGGCGCATAGACTAGGCATGGATGTGTTTATTAATCAAATTATAGAGACAAAACATATTATGTATTGATCACTTTACCTGTCTTGTACAAAAAAATCTGCTCCATTATCTCCAGCGTATACAGCATCAACATTAGCCTATTGATAAATAATAACAATAAATTGTCTGTTATCAATTAACTCAAAACTCACCAATTCTCCTACAGAGGTTATGAGTTGGCTAGAGAAAGCCAAAGCAGTGTATTGAGTGTCAGTAGAAGGAGCAGTGTATATAAAGTTGACAGTGTTGCTATCAATCACAGTCCAATCAATGGTAACTTGCTGTGTCTCATTAGTAAAGTTTCCTGAGCACTGAGCTAGAGAAATAGTAAAGAGACCAGCTAGAAGAAAGAGCTTTAGTAGTCCTTGCATTTTGAATCTATCTTTTTTAGCTAAAATTCGCCCACTTTTGCTTTTATAAACTCTATCTGTGAGTGTCACCCACCCACAAGTGTATACTGTGTATGATTACAAATTGCCATCAACTAACAATTTATACTGAAATATGACAAAACAATGTTTGATAAAATGGATGTATGAACCTGAACTATGTATGTAACTGAACTAGCTATGATAGTAAGTTTACTTCCTTTTAAACTATCAATGCTCTCAAATATCAAGAGTACATAATAGCAAACCTATAGCAACGAGACACCTAACAGTACTTGGACTCACTGTAGTTGCTCTTGCATTTAAAGTAATGAATCATGGGCTTCATCTCTA